CGCCCCATGTTATAATTAAACAACACATGAAATTACTAGAAAAAATCAATTTGATTTTTGTGTGTTTATAAAAAAAAAAAATTATGTATGGGAACATAAAAGAATTTAAAGAAATTTTAGTTTATATATTTACATATATCATAATCATGTAATCTAATTTTATAATAATTAAATATGGTTTTAATATACATGGTATACTCCCAATGCCCACTGACATATATATATATATATATAACATTAATGCTATTTGTATTGACTATTGGGTACCTAACAGTAATAGTCCAACACTCTCACTTCCTCGAACGCGAAGGGAGAGAGAAAGCCGATCATGATTCATGAAGGCAGAGAGAACCGTCATTCTATAATAGAAGAAAAGATGATGTTGGGTACTCCAGCCCTACTCCTAAAGGGCAACAAGAAGTAGAAGAAGAAGGTGAAGATTTGCAGGTTTTTATTACATATACTTTATATTCTTCTTCTTTTGTTTTTATAATTCCAAAAAGGTGTGATTTGGGCCTGGAGAGTTTTTTTTTGTCACTGATTTAGGGTTTGAATTTTGAAAAACTAATGAATTTTTGTGGGTTTTTAAGTTATGGGCATTTGATTTTTTGTTTTATTTCTTATCAATCTCCTTTTCATTTGTTTATTTTGTTACTATTTCAACCTAACACATATTGTGATAATAGTACAACTGTGTTCTTCTCAAAGAACAACAAAATTTCTAGTGGGTCTAAGCATATAAAAATTAAATATCTTTTTGTCAGAGATCTTGTGAAGAAAGGTGATATTGTGATTGAACTTATTGATACAGAATCAATACTTGCCGATCTTTTAACTAAGGGACTAAAACATGTAAATTTTAAGAAACATGTTGACAACATGGGTATTTTAGGGGCTTTTGATGTATTTGGTTAGTGATAGTTGATTTATGTGTTAAGAACTTTAGTATTTATTTAATTTCATATGTGATATTAGATACTCAATATGGTTGAGATGCATCTATTTGATAAATAATAAATATTTGGATGATCATCTTTGTTGTTAGCAAAATATTCTTGTTATGTTATATATGTGTACATTTATGACATGTCAATTTATACAAAATTTTAAGGCTTGATTTATGTCTTAAATATGATTATTTTGTCAATAAAGTATGTCTCTGATTTCATCATTTGAAAAAACTTGAGATTTTAAGTTGAAGACATACTAGCTTATTCTTGAAACTGGTGAATTTCTCTAACTTATTGATGAAGTATGTTGTTAAAGAGAAATCATTTGGAGAACTGATAATGAAAATAACATGTTTATCAAATCACATATTTAGATGTTATTTTCTTGCTACACTACCACTTCTTGATTCATGTCAATAGGATTACTATTTTTTGTAATCATGAATTGGTTCTATATCAATAAAGGATGTAAAAACGGTCATGGTTCGAAAATAGTGATTTTATTGGACTGAGTTGTGTTTGAAATATTGTCTCAAGACCGTATTGTTTTGTGGTCACTTTGAGTTTTGTTTAATTAGCTTGAGAGTCATTTTTCAAATAAATTATTTTATTTTATTTTTTAAATAACTACAATTAATGTTGTCCAAGTGGGAGAATGTTGAAATTTTTTTATATTGTACTTCCATTAATTGATAATTAATTTTTAGTTTGTGAAAAACGGATTGAATTTGTGGTTCAATAAGATGAGCCTAATATTATTAAGTGATCTATTTTGATAGACTTATCTACATCTTTTTTAATTGATATGGTTGAAGTAATTATGTGTAGGCCTTAATTTAATTGTAGCCCGTAATAGGAGAACTCATTAGATTCATTATAAATAGCAGGTTAGATCTTCTCTTCACTTCATAACTTAAATTGACTTGTCTTATTGAGAGACGTTTATTGTTTTGAATAATGAGTGGAAGACCTTGCCCTTCAGCGAAAAAGTCCTAAAAATTGAATATCATGACTCACATAGGTATGGTTTAAACCTATATGATTTAAATCTTGTAATTTACGTGTTCTAAATTTTATATATAAATCATTAAAATTATTACATATATATATATATATATATATATATATATACATCTTGTAATGAAATATGATATTTTAATCTAACATCCACTTCATAAATAACTTGGCTATATTGCATGAAAGTTGCATTTAGCGGCTCCATCATTATGAATAGGACATTCCAACAATATCCGCTAAAATAATTTTTTTTTGTTTTTTTCTAACTTACCTCTTAAATAACTGGAGTAGGTGTAGACCCTTCATCTATTTCTAACTTTTCACTGATATCAATGGATTGTATTTAGTGGCTCTTTCAACATGTTATCACTGATGATAAATTTTTAGAAAAATTTCAGGTCACTAACATGAAATGGAGTGAACAAAAGTGAGGAAAAAAAGCTTATAACAGGAGACATTAACATGTTTGATTGAGGAAGTGTCGAAGACAAGGCAAATAGAATGTCAGGGAAAGGGGTATAGAGACAAGGCTATGGGAAGATACACCACAATTGATTGTTGGTGCAAGTTCAAAAATTGGTGGTTTTTTTTAACAGTTCTGTTGATGAAATAACTGAAGTGCTCCTGTGAGAAATAAAATGTTATGTGCTTTGATCCCCTAAGGGAACGGATACGGCTCCGTGGAATCGTACCATGACATTTTCCATTCTGATGTCATTTTACAGCACTGTGGTGTTGTCGAAACTCTCATCATGTTCAATTTTTTTTTGTATATATTGTTCAATATCATCCTACAACTCTCGGATCGATAGTATGTTAAATTTGAATTAGGTATCGAAGTTAATTGAATTGTATTTGTTCATTCCAGAAATGTCTTTCCTTTTTATTACTGTTCAGATTAAAAATATGTCTCTTCAATCCGAACAGGTTGAACAACTAGTGGCATCCCCGTACAGGCACTAATGGTTTATAAATAGACTGCCTTCATGTCATTTCAATTATGAAAAACAGACAAAAACTTTATGCATATTGTTACATCTTCTCTCTCTTTCTACATTGCATTTTTTTTACAGTTCAAGTATAAAACACAAAATTGTATTCGTTGGAGCCTTGTAGATTGAAGCACTGCATCGTTAAGAACGAAATACGTTATATCTTGAGAGATAGTTATTTATCAAAATTTAGCATCGAGAAAGAGCAAATTTATCTTAAAGAAACCGTGATTATACATGACTCGAATTATTTCTGAATTTCTGGATTATTATTATCCTTCTTCTTATGCGTCACTATAAAGTGCAATTTTAATGATTATAGAGTTATTACAATAATTCTGATTATATATATATATATCGGATAACATTGTTGCCATTTAGCTTCCCCGGCATCAAAAGTATGCAGTAGTTAGTGTATGAATATTACAATTCACCTTGCAATCAAATATGTATATCTTAATCTGATTTCAACTTCATGATGACGAGGCTATATTGCATGGAAGTTGCTTTTATTGTCTCCATCATTACAGGCTATATGGCATGGAAGTTGCTTTTATTGTCCCCATCATTAGAATAGGATATTACACAATAATAGAATTATTGTTTAATTAATTATGCCTAAAAAATATTATTAGTACAACAACAGTCTCCTAAGTAACTGGAATAGATACTCCATTTGAAGACAATTTTTTTAATTGTACATAACCTATCAAAATTAAATTTCTTGCACTATTTACAGTAAAATTGAATAATTAATTCAAACTTACCAAAATACATGCAGAAAAACTCGGATCAATCTTCAACAATCAACACTTTCAACTGAATTTCACCATACAAAAACTTGATATGGAGTGAATAAAAGGGATGACAAAACATGCTACAAGAATTATAATGCGTAACCTTTAGTCTAACCTTTGATAATTTAAAATTTTCAAATTCAACACTTCTCATATATCGTAAGGGTTAGTCACCGTTATTCTTCAGGAAACATATTCTAATTTTGCTCAGACTACAGTAACCAGTATTTAAGTTTGAGAAAATAGTCGATAGATGGTGTGTGTATGTGTGTGAGAGAGAGAGAGAGAGTGAGAGAGAGAATAAGAGAGATACAGTATATAAGGTTTTTGAAAAATTGAAAAAAGGGGCTTGACCCCTAGGCTTCAACATGGCTCTGTGGATTCGGAGTTTGCTCATGATGTTGTCACAACATATTCATTAGCGCAGACAAACAAAGAGGTAGTAGAAAATTGAATCTTATAACAGGAGTCCTTTAATGATATAATTCAGGAAAGTGTGAATGAAAAAGGCAACTAGAGAGACAGGAAGGGAACATAGACAAGGCAATGAAAAGATACACCACTGGTATGATTTGATAAACGATGGCATCATTTTCTTTTACATATCGTTCAATTAATACTATTCAGCAACACCATGGTTGGTTCTTCTCTGTGCAACTTGAATCGATGGCTAATACTATTGACTTTGAATTATGAATTATGACAATTAGGTTGTATAACTGAATGAGTGATCAATGATTAATAGTTTGATTAGTTATAATAAAAAAAAATTATAGTACATTTTATGTAGTTAACCTCATTTGTTGTAAAGTGTTGTAAGTAGTTTTTTTTTAATTTTTTTAATTAATTAGGAAAAAATTAAATAAAGTGTTCATTCTAAATAGAATTTCTGGCTCCACCCCTGGATAGCATGTGGTTATGTGTATACTTATACAGAGAGTAATATTTTTTGAGCCCTAGAAAATTGATTTAATTCAATAACTTAAGGATGTATAAGGTTATATGACCCTAATAAAGAAGTGCAATAATTATGGTTATAATAACAGTAAATTGTACCATTGATCCCTCAAGTTTGTCATTTGAAGGCCAAGAGCTGCATTCTAACTTGTATAGATTAAAGTGTGCAGACTTTGAGAAATCATTTTATCAAAAAGCAACCTGACAGCTAAAACAAAGTAAAAGAGACAAAAAATAAAAAAAGACTCGACTCTGAGCACAAACACCTCTCAACCGCCCACGGATAGTCAGACCAAATCCCTTAATCTCTGCTCTATGATTCCATCTATCTTCTCCATCATCTCAGCTGTTAGAAAGTTCTTTCCGTCTCCAATCTTGCCTTGCCTAAAAAATGTTTTGCTCTCTATCACCAAGTCCGAGACGAGGGAGACTGATCCGTTCTTATTCACCTCCAAGTTACTCAATTTCTCAAAACTACACAGCTCTAATACTTTGTGTATTACACCTTCATTTTCTTCCTTTAAGGAAAAAGGGTAGCCTATGAACTCACCCAATCTCTTTGCATGAAGTGTTGGGTCATTCTTCATGTCCTCATATTTTACGAACAACACTCTATCAGGCCATTCTAAGCTTGCTTTCCAATACCCAAGAACGTGATCCCAAAATGGTCCAAATGGTGAAATTCCCTTGCAAAACTGCTCAAATGCCTCTTCTAGAACTAGGGGTGGTAGTTCCTTGGATCTCAACTTGCTGGCAAAATGCCACAGAGAAACAAACATGTCTTTTGGGTCTCGATACACATAAACAATACGAGAACCCGAGACTAATATTGATTCCGGTAAAACAGTATAAGGCATATGAGTGGAAAAGAGAGAAAGGTTGGGCCTCTGATTTGGGTTCTTACTGGCGTACAGCTCCAAAAAGGGCACATGGATGTGGGGGTTACCAGTGAGCAAAGGGTGGTCATGATAATCATAAAGGTTTCGATTCATTATGGTAAAGAGAAGGGCCTTAAACCAAGTAGTACCGGATTTTGGTATGGTGGCCAAGAAAACATCTGTGGGTCGAACCTCGAAACTTTGTTGAAGAGTTATGACTCCTAGAAGCGGTGATGGCGGAAACCAAAAGCCTTGGTAGTGATGAAGATGTTCTCTTATCCATCCTTTGTCTTTGGGAAGGATAGAGACCACTTCTAAGAACTTATTGTGGGTTTCTTGGTGCTCTTCCTCTTGCTTCTCATCTTTGAGGGTACAAGAGTTTTGGGTAGCCAAAAGATCTGCCATGAAAAGAGACTTCAACAAGCCCGAAACAGAGATAATATGCAGACAGCAGGGTGGAAGAAAAACATATCATAGATATTACTATATAAAGGATGTGAGGTCACCAAACAGTCCTAAACACACCAAACCTTTTTTTCCTAACTACTACAAGGATATCAACATCAAATAATTTATAATGAAATTATATCATTAAGTAAAAAAATTAGATCAAATTTTTATGTGTAAATAACATTATTCTAAATTTAATTTATTTGCTTGTACACCCAATTTACAAAACCAGCATACCAAAAACGCCATCCAAGATGCAATATCTATACATCTTGCAATGAAATATTATATTTTAAAAGCAGAATTAGCAACAATTTTGATTTATTTTAAAAGCAGAATTAGCAATTCCGACTTTATGCGGTAAAGCAGAATCAAAACATACGCTTTTACTATTAAGGTGTATTTGTCAAATCCGTTTTCAAACAAAAAATGTGCACTTTATATTTCAATCAAAGCGGAAGTGTTGAATCCGATTTCATTATAAGGCGGATGTGTTGAACATGTCTTCACTAAAAAACGGGCCTGTTAAAAACGCTTTATAATGAGAGCGTATTTGTCAAATCCGCTTTCATTGTGCTGCCTTTTCGAGCCCAAACAAACATTAAAAAATTAATAACTTAACTACACCCACCATGACACTTTATGAACGTGTTGAAAATTTATTTTTACCATATTATAAAATTAAATTACGGTATTATAAAGTTATCCTACTTCTAAACAAGATGATAACAATAAAAAAGATAAAAACCCTAAACATTAAATAACCTACCCAATGAAAATATTATTATCGAATTGGAGAATACCAATCGTATCCCCCAAACCCAAACAACAAACCCTAAACCCAGGGAAACACTACAACAAAAATCGTTTTTTGTGACGATATTTTTCGTCGCTAAAAGTAAACAAATCGTCGCTAATTATTTTTTGGGACGTTTTTTTTTGTCACGTGTTCGTCATAATAGCCTCATCGCAGAAAGTATTTTGAGACGGAAATTTAATTTTATTGCAAAAAAATAATTTTTGCGACGAAAAAAAACGTTGCCAAAAGTTACCAAAACGTAACTAAAACATATTCCCCAGCATAAAAATATTAAAATAATAATTTGATTAGTTATTCGCGATGCAAATAAATCGTCCCCAAAAATGTTTTAAATAACAAATGTTAACAATATTAAATAAATTAAGTTATCGTGACATAAATAACTCGTCGCAAACAAATATTTTTAACTAAAAAAATGTTAAAAATATTAAATAAATTAATTTTTCACGACGCAAATAAATCGTCGCGAATAATTTTTACATAAATTAAAAATGTTAAAAATATTAATTAAAGTAATTTTTCGCGACGTAAATAAATCGTCGCAAATAAATTTTTTTAAATAAAAATGGAAAATATAATAATTTAATTTATTTTTTGGCGACGTAAAAAAAGTGTCGCGAATAAATTTTACATAAATTAAAAATGTCAAAAATAATAATTTAATTAATTTTTCGTGACTTAAAAAAATCGTCGCAAATAATATTTTTAATTAAAAAAACTAAAAAATAATTGAATAAATATATTTGCGAGGTAAAAAAATCATCACAAAAAAAGTTTGTACTGCAATTTTCGTGACGATTTTTATTTCGTCGCAAAAAAGTTTATTTTTTTTATTTTACATAAAAAAATAATTTTTTAATAAAATTTTTCACCTGTACACCAATAATACATGTATTCAATAAAAACTAACATAATTAATACATTTAACATCTTTTTAAAAAAAAACAAAATTTTATTTCCAAAAGGAATGAATTACAAGAATCAAAGAACAAAAAGTTCTAAAAATAGAAAAAAATAGCTTTAATCCTTTAAGAGAATTTAAACCATCTCTAATTACATTTAATGTCTGTTAAACTTGAACCGGTACAGCAGTCCAGCTCCATGCATTGAAATATCATCTCCAAGCTCAACTGTATCCAGGATCTACATAATCAAACTGACCACCACACAAAACCTTCCTCCTCCGAGCAATAGGGATTCTGGACTAATCCTGATGCAAAACCAACCACTATGAGAGGGCTACAGTAAAAAACAGTCCCAATGATATGATAACTAGACTTTGGATATTATAAGCTAGAGTAGATGTAAGGTAATGCCTTACTCGCTCCAAGCCGCTGCAACAATGTTTAATACTCACATAGCTCATGTTAACGTTAAAGTTAGGCAATGGAATGCATGCTTACCCAGAAAATCAAATTTGAGAGTCAGAAGTTTAGTTTCAATTGATCATATTCAAGCCGGTTGTCAAAGAAATGATGCGTATAAACCGGTTCATTAATGGAGTGAACTTGTTACTTACATTGTTCTAGATCTTGGCATGTTTGTTTATCTGTGTAAGTTGAATTGATCTAACCTCTTGATTAGAAATTATGAAGTACTAGAAATTATGAGGCAGTTATAAACTTCGCTGCTCCACATGCCTGATATCACCCAAAGGTGACAGACATTCCAGCCTAGAAGGACAATTCTGAGTCCAGGTGGACTCTAGCATGCTTAATGAGTCATAGAGCCGAACAAATACAAATTGAAATTTGAAGAAAAACATGGAGTTGGGTGCATTGATGAACAAGATACTATCTTTTTGACCATATCAATATCTTAGAAATGAGATAATGGATGTGAACTCAGTTCCAAAACCTTGCTTTGATCCATTAGGTGACTAAAAAAAAGGAGAATAAAAAACCCCAGAAGATGTATCAGCATCACTTCAATCACAGTGCACACCCCTCTACATGCATATTAGAAAGCTAATTCTCCAAAAAGCATAGCAATAAAGTTATGAGTTGCATAGTTATGGTTATCATGTGTACCTATAAATAGGAAAGGTGCTGCACACGGAAACCACCTCAGGAGTGTCCACTAGCACCTCCAGCTTGATCTCCATCCAAAAGCTCATTTACACAATACTGATGCAAGTTTTCATACATTTTCTTCCACTGTAGAACCAGCTGCATAGATCTTTTGCAATCAAGCTTTAGTCTTTGTCTCCATTTCAGTAGCCGCAGAAGAACCTTGTTGCTGAATATAAGACCAGGAACAAATGTTAGACAAAGATTTCAGGTGCACTTTGTACTCCAATTCTAATTCCCACAAGTTAAACAACAACTTCTTTGTAATGCAACTTACTACATAAATCAACGGCTATAAGGCAACACAGAGACACAATACTTGACCCAAACCACGATAAAGAGGTAATATTAAGAGCAATTACAATCTCATTTAGGATAGCATGCTTGGCACTGACACGAGGTGAACAGTAATTGGGTAGTGTTTGGTTTGCTGCTGCTCAAAAACCATGAATTTTGATGTGTTCCTTCTTTACGATCCCAGCCTGTTCTTAAAAGGAAAAAAAAAAAAAAGGAGAAGTATCAAGAGGTAAGAACACATACACATAAAACCAGGACACCAAATGACTAACCATGACCCTACTTACGAATAGCAGGGCCATAATTCCCTAAATCTAAGCATCCACACAAGAAGTAAAAGGATATGTTGTACCAATGTTTTGTGCGTCTGCAAGTGTATTTTTGTGTTTTTTTGTTGGTTTTAATTTTGTAGGGGGTTGGGATGCGTAGTAGTCAATGGTGCCACCAATGTGATAGTAGCAAGTAATTGGCTTTCAACGATTTCATGGAGAACAAGGGTATATTCTAAGTCAGCAATCAGGAAAATAATTTAAAAAAACAGTTAAATGATCAAACACCATTGAGAAAACCACCACCACCACCCTCCTGGCATAGACAGAAGTTACTTAGTGACCTGCTGTCAGGTTCAATTTGAGAGGTAGAATCAAAAGTATCCTTGGCAAATTATGACCTATCAAACTGTAGAAAAACTACCCTTTTTTTTCTATTTTTCCCATTTATTTGGGTGCGCATCTCAAAGACTTCAACACGAGTCTTCTATAACAAAGTCGGAACCATAGGGTAAATCACCTGAAGAAGAAAGGTAGAAACATTTTTCCTCTGATCACCTTGAAGCTGAATAACCTTCAAAAGGATAACACAGTATAATATGAGGTCCAGACGATACCCACCACCCCCCAAGAAAACAATATTAGAGAAACCCAAGAGAATATTAACGAGGGTTAATGCAAAGCTGGCCTAATTATGGGTCATGGACAACAGTACCATTGCAGCAAAACTCCTTCATAACTATAATGGGTTGCATGCATATTTCTCACTATTATCACAACTTCATAATCTTTGTTTATATCTGACCAGAAAAAAAAAAAAAGAAATAAGCTCTTTTATAAGTATTGAAATGTAGAGGTGTGGTAAATGGTTCTAAAATCGCCCTTCACGGAGAGTAACGACGTAATCAACACGGTTACACCTCCCTAGACTGAGAGGCCTTTAACTCTCTGCTATCACCAGGTCAAAGATAAAGTTGAGTGCGTTTGTTTTGGATAATGGCCTTTCTGTACACTTACTCTTACAATACCAATCATTTTGCATCACTTTTCTAACTATTGAAATTTGCATTAATATTTCAAGTACTTAACTTCTTAATTAAATGTATGGCCTTCTGCAAAAACACCAAAACTTTTCACCTTCTTTGATATGCTATTGCATGAGCTATTATGTTCCTTCTAATAACGTTTTCCCCGACTATGTAAAAAAAGAGGGATAATATGTTAATAATGGAGCAATAGAGGACATTGAAACCAATGCTACAAAAGAAATTTAACATTCGTATAAAGCAACATATGCCCTTTTACCTTTTTTCCCTTATTTTTTTTGGAGATGGTAACTGACTACTGCTAAGAAATGAGTACTACACTATAATCTTTGTTGAAGCATAAGATTATGTTGGGAATTTAAGAGATGAATTTATATTCTCAACTGACTTGATATAGCCAAAGTTAAAGTGGCAAGCAAGTTCATCATTCTATACCCCAGCACCATGTCAAATAAAATGAAAA